TTAACATGTGTAAAATGGCCCAACGATGAGCACAGAAAAGAAATAAATGCGGATTATTTCTGCCAGGGAAAAAGCTCAGTCCTTAAGGTGGTCGACGCATTTTGTTACTAACTCTGTCATATTAGCAATGCTGTAAAACTATTTCCTCTGCATGGGGTGGAGGTAATGACATCAGAGGACAGCACAGGAGAATGGAGAAGAAAACGCGCAGCCTCAGACTCCTACTTGATACCATTCATCTGACGTCACCTGCTCTGTCTTCATAAACTCAGGTCAAAGACAGGCATTGTTTATGATGCAGAACTGCACAAGGTAATGTATTTAAGAATAGCCTGTAGACAGGGTTAGCCTTGGAATTGAATTTCAAACAAGTATCATAAAATATTAAAATAATGGAATTATATGAAGTAAAAGGTTGTGTAGCTAAATGGTTAATGAACATAATACGATAAAATCTTAAAATCAGGTACTGAACAGGTGGCTCAGGAGTTAATAGCACTGGCTGCTCTTCCAGAGGCTCTGGGTTCAATTCCCAACACCTACAGAGTATCTCACAGTTGTTTATAACTCCATAGGGGTTTCTGGGGAACCTGAGGGCCTCTTTTCGGCCTTTGTAGGAACTGCACACACAGGATGCACAGACATATATACAGGCAAACACTCACATGCACACAATACAATAAATGTTCCTTAAAAGTTAAAAATAAATCTTACAATCAGTAGGAATGTGAATATGAAGAAGCACCTCCTTTATTACATAATGTGTGTCTACACACACACACACACACACGCATACACGTCTGTATGTGTGCATTTGCATGCATGCATGTATGCATGTACTAGGTACAGAACTATATTCTCAGCTCCGTTACATCATTCTTTAATAAGCTCTTTCATTTCTGGTGGTCTAGCAATCAGTAAAATGGAAAGAACATCTGTTCTGTCTGCCTGAGAAAGCAACAGTAAAAATTATCTTCTGAAAATTAAAAGCAAAGCAATCAAATGAAAGTGCTGAGTAAGCTATAAAGGACTGCACCAATACAAAAGGTTCTACCACGTGACCACCTAGAATAGGTGGTCTACAGATCCACTTGTCAAATATAAAAAACGCTTTATAAATGGAATTTTAGAGCTCACAGAAAGACTATTCCAACTTTACAAACTTATCAAACACTGCAGAAACAGAAAAGGAGACAGAGAAAGACAGACAGACTAATAACAGAATAACCTCAAAACTATTTCAAATAAACAATACCATAGGAAAGCTGATATACTTCACTGCCTATGAAGAACAGAAAAAGAATGGCACCTTCCCGGAAAATCTTAGTTTAAGGTTTCATGTTGTCAGTTCTGACTGGCTGTTTTCTTAGTTGTTACTTAAGGCAGAAGCTAGATTACAGGTAAACAGTCCTGGAAGGTGGCACACTTTGTGTTATCTCATTTCCCTTGGGGGGTGGGGAATCACAATGCATACCAAAGAACTTTATAAAAAAAATCTATGTACACTAAAAATTTGCATTCTATAACACAACACACACACACACACACACACACACACACACACACACACTGCGGGGGGCACTCAGCGTTCAGTGCTGAACAAAGAGGGTCTCTGGAAATGTAGGGGCATTCAAAACCGCTGAGGAAATAAAAATTCTTTTAAAATTCTGAGAACCAAAGGGCCTAAGGTGTAAAGAACCACTGACTGAGAGACGGCACACCCACCGGGTGTCAAAGCCCTTTAGACAAAGATTATTAGCAAAAGGATCTACGAAGAAAATTATAACATATGGGTATCACATAAACACAAGCTGATGTGGAAAACATGTGGGTGCTTTTCTACTTTCACAGTCAGAATTAAAAAGTAAGAAAGCAAAGCTGAGATTACAGACATTAAACTAATGTGAGAAGGGATGCTGGTAAGTAAAGTCAGCAGTGCTTAGCCGAGTCCACAAGTGAAAAGCCTGGGACTAGGTAAAGGAGAATGACTGGAACTGCTGTGCAGCCTGAAGATGCAACAGTCTACGGGAACAGCTGAAGATGCAACTGTCTACAGGAACAGCTGAAGATGCAACTGTCATCTATGGGAACAGCTGAAGATGCAACTGTCTACAGGAACAGCGGAAGATGCAACTATCTACGGGAACAGCTGAAGATGCAACTGTCTACAGGAACAGCTGAAGATGCAACTGTCATCTTTGGGAACAGCTGAAGATGCAACTGTCTACAGTAACAGCGGAAGATGCAACTGTCTACAGTAACAGCGGAAGATGCAACTGTCTACGGGAACAGCGGAAGATGCAACTGTCTATGGGTACAGCTGAAGATGCAACTGTCTACAGGAACAGCTGAAGACGCAATGGTCTACAGGAACAGCTGAAGACACACGCTGCCGGTGAGAACAGCTGATGATACACACTGCCCGTGAGAACAGCGGAAGATACACACTGCCTGTAAGAATTGAAGATGCACACTGCCCATGAGAACAACCTGAAGATACACACTGCCCATGAGAACAGCTGATGAAGATACACACTGCCCATGAGAACAGCTGATGAAGATATACACTGCCCATGAGAACAACCTGAAGATACATGCAGTATATAAGAACAGCCTGAACACAGAAAATCCCTACTCAGGGAATACAGTGCAGCCCACCTCGCCCTGGGAGCTTCAGTTTCTTTGTGGGTGGGGGGTGGAGGCTGCTTCACAGGGTAACATGAAAAGGCAATCAGCGAACGACTGATGAATGGGGTGTGTGGTATAGACCACCTGTTCAGAAAGTGACAGAGGCAAGTGGGAGCCACGGCAAAAAGTGCAGAGATGCAACAGTGAGAAAACATGGCTGTAGAGAGGGCAGGGATAGCTACAGATTTAGGGTACACCAAACGCTGTGTGGAAAGGGGTACAAAAACGATTCCAACAAGTGACCGATGCAAGCAGGGCGGCAAGGAGCAAGCAGCTCTGAGCTGGAGTGAATGCGAACACTTCAGCTCACACCACTGTATCTGAAAATCAGGGGGTTGCCATACAGAGTACAGGCAGGGGCATCCCAAGCCGGGGACACCTAGCGGCTTGTCTCACTATGGCTCCTAGCACTCAGAGTGAAGCAAGACCACCACTGTGTGCTTCTCTTCTCGGGATGGCCCCCCCTACTTCATGTAGAACCTACCCACACACTGCGCTTTGAACACAGAATCAACTCCCGTGCCACTAAACCTTCCTCACCATGACCTTTCTCTCTCTAAGGACTTTGGTGTAGTCCTCTTCCCATTAGCAGGAAGTCCATTTGAACTCCCCAGGTAGGAAATGAACTAAAGGTGCCCTGCAAAATCACACAAAAGGAAATGCTAAGGAAATAAGCCAGGAAGCCAACGCATGGCTCTCCCTGCTCTTGAGCAAGGGCTTCCCCCCACTAATCCCTAGAGCAGTGGTCCTCAACCTTCCAAATGCTGGAACTTTATTACAGTTCCTCGTATTGTGGTGATCCCCACCCCAATGATAAAATTATTTTTGTTGCTACTTCATAACTGTAATGTTGTTACTGTTATGGATCATAATGTAAATAGCTGACATCCACGGTATCTGATTTATGACTTCTGTGCAAGGGTTGTTCCATAACCCCCAAAAGGGTCGCAACCCACTGCTTGAGAATCAGTGCCCTAGGAGATAATGAGCCAGTGCAAACCAGCTTCACAGAGACCTTAGTGAACTGCAGAAGTGCGGTCTTCCGCAAGGACGATGAAGCTCCCAGCCCAGGCACCGGGGTCAGACAGTACACGGACAGCCGGTACTTTTCCCAGAAAAGCATGGTCATGCCTTGGTAATGCCTTTTCTAGGGAAGGGACACACCGAGACCCATAAAGATCCACAGCTCCAGTATGCAGAGAGGCCTGGTCTTCCTTCCCATATCCTCTGAGCTTGAAGGACCTTACAAAAGGCAGCCATCTGAATCATGTTTCTAATGGGAGTCCTAAAACACTAGTAGTCCAATGGAGTAGTGAAAGTGGTGGGCTAATGGTATGGTTCCCGGGAGGTGGGAAAGACTCCAAAGAAACCAGAAAGTAGAGGCAATACCATGGGGCATGAAATAATCCCCTGCAACGTTGCTGCAACAATCACAAGGATGTCATCCAGGAACACAATAGAGAGAGCTTTGGAGACAGAAGAGTCATTTTTCAAGTCAGATGGGTGTGGAAGAGAGAGAAAGACAGCATCTCGGTAGAGCGCATCTTTTATTCTCAGCTTCTGGAAGGCTCACACTATTCTATATGGTTGTAAGTTACTGCTTCTTATGTGTGAAGGTGCTTTTGACATTGATTGGTACAAATACGAAGCCTCTTCCAACACCAGGATGCTGGACTGGCCAAGTTCGCTAATGGGAGAGTGCATGGTACAGCCACACATTGCATGCTCAACTCATGCAGACATTCAAAATCCATTTACTGAAAAAATGAGTACATTGCCACTAAAACCCTTGGAACTAAGGCTGGCTCTGAACCATCTGTAACTTCAACACACACTGGTGTCTCGGACAACTTTCTCCAACAGGAGAGAGAGAAGCAACCTAGTCCCAGGGACTTAGCAGGGCCTTTTGTCCTATGGCTCCCTCACTGGACCACTGTTTGGTGGCATTTTGTCGCTTGTCTGAGGGCAACAGTGAGAATCACTGGGTAGTAGACACATCCCCACAGGAGAAAAAGGAAGGGTGAGTGAGGATAAGACTACAGAAAGGCTCTGAGCTATAAACGAAGAGGTCATGCTCCTACCTGGGCCACTACTGCTAACTATTACTGCAAAACCCCAGGCACCCAACTCTGGAAGATTTAATCTCTTTGTTTCTAAAAGGTGGTCGGTGCACACAGCTATGGGGAGCTCATTACAACTGGACAGCTCATAAATCGTGGGAAATATACCGAGAAACCTCCCTCTGACACAAGCCTAATTGCACATCCCATCTCTGAGGCTGATTTCTTTCCCACTCCAGGCCCACAACTCACTCTCTCCTCCGGGCTGCTTGTACGGGTTGTACTTGGGTTTTGGGGCCACCACTGGAGCAAACTTCTTGGGTGGCTGCTGTGTCGACACGGAAATACTGGGGGTCCCGAAAGAATGGGTGGTCTCCATCCGGGCAGGAACGTGGCCAAGAGGCTCACCAGTGCTTTTGGGTGGCAGCCAAGATGGGTGAGACATCGTTGAAATCTGCAGTTAGAAAAACAAGAAAACAGACAACACCAGGTTCAGTGTGGCTGGAGGGACATTTGAGAAAGACGCTGACCAAAGAGCAAGAGTCGGCGATGGGGCCAACGAGAAACATCTACACACACACACACACACACACACACACACACACACACACACACACACACACACACTTGAGCTTACATTTATCCAGTAGGCATTAGAGAGACAGTAAATGTTTATTTTGTTAGCAGATACATGACAGCACACTTTACCATGTCTTCACTACAAGACTAGCCTCCCCACCCCCACCATAAAGAGGCACTTGGGGGCGGAGCACAGAGGCACTGCTTACCCAAATGCCTGGAACAAACACTGACATTTATTAGAGAAAGAATATTCAACACCAAGAGTGCAATGATGGCCCTATAAATCAAAGAAATGGCCATTAACACCTAACGAAGCTGGAAAATTATGAAAAAGTTGCTGTGACTCCATGAGGGATAACCAATCCGGCCCAGGCACTGTTCTATGAGAGCATCCATACTGTGTGAAGAAAGAACTGAGTTCTCTTTCAGGATATGCCAATCACTCCTCCAGGCAGCCTGCCTGCTGGGAAAGAGTCTCACAGACTTTTTGAGGAGGGCTCTCCAGGCCTGATTGCAAGAGCTCTCCAGCACAGGGAGGCCGGAAGGTGCCCTGCACCCACTCCTAGCCCCAAACCTACCTAGTAATTTATTAATTGAACTGAATTAATTAAGAGGGCTACATGATTACCTCCAGATGTCTATAAAGACGAAGCACAGAGCAAAGGCAGGAAGAAAGGAAGGCCTCAGCATGTGGCATAGTAATCGAGAGAAGAAGAAATTGAGACACAGCATTATGAGGAATTCACACATGACCACACCATGGACAAACAGTATGTTCTGGAACCCTTCTGATGGCATGGTCAACAAATTATGGTTTAGAAATTCCAGGTCTCCTTAACTCAGGGAGCTTTTTTGAAAACCAATAAAAAATATTGAAGGGCTTTATGCATAGACCATCAATTGCAATGAAAGCCAAGGGGGAAAATACCTCCATCCTCACATGTAGTGACTGAGAATTACAAATCATTTTACCCAGAGGGAAGCGGGTGTTGTTCTATCACAAGATGGGGATAACTCCATGGATAACCAAAGGGAAAGAAGTTGAGATTAAAGACGCAGGCTGGGGAGGCCAATGGTGACACTGGCATCCCTCTGGCCTCAGAGACCTTCTTTTCCCTCCCGTCCCCGGTGCAGGGACACTGAGACAAACATACTGGAAAACTGTGAGCCTCTGAGAAGGCAGGGACCATATTTTAGATATCCTTAAATTACCACTAAGGCATGCCACCAAACCAATAAAGAACAATAATCAATAAATGTCTATTTTACTCAACGTTTTTAAATCTAGCTGAACACTTGCAATCATTTAAAGAGAATAAGTACCAAAACTAAGCCTATCTCTAAGGTTGGAGCATCAAAACAAAACAAAAAAATCCTTTATCTTATTAATTGAGCCTCTCTTTTACAAAATTGAGACAACAGTACTATTTTTGCTTTTAGCATGACTAAGGTGAATATAAAACAGTGAATAAATGAAATTAAGAAAGGTCTAAAAGTTCTAAAGCTCTGCATGCTTGGAGTATAAATTTTGAATGGTTATCTTTAACTGGGTTAACAGCAACCACCTCTGCTGTACATCCAGTTATTCCAAAACAAAAGCTTTTCGGTGCAAACTAATACAGCATGGAATGGTCTCTAAGACAAAGGTGAAAATTTGCAGCGCAGTCATGCACTACTTACCAGCTGTGGTGTGCTGGGTTAATTAGCTATGCCACAGATATAAAGAAACAGGTAACTGCTGGGATGCTATTGAGAGCGAAAGGGTAAGACTCAATGTGAAAACCAGAGTCAGCTCTATACCCCATAGCCTTGTGAATTACCCTGGTGATGCCTTTGTCCTCACATGAAGCACTTTGAGCTTGCCCTCCAGGGAGGGCTACATCTGCCTGCAGATGACAATCAGGGCATCTTCTACATGTCAACAGTGCTCTGGGGTTTATGACACACTTCCGTGCTCCTGAACCTGTCTTTATGATGTGCCCACCAACAACAACTCCATTTCCTTCCCATCCCTGGCTGCAAAGCCTGCTGTTTTTATATTGCCCCAACTTGGATGCCTGGCTATGAATGATTCCTCCTAAAGGGTGGCGGGGAGGTGTGGGGCGTCAGCATATTCTTTTACTGGACTCTTCTAGTACTCTTTCATACCAACATTAATTTACTAGAAAGCAAGTTATCAATCACCCGACCTGCCACAATGAACTAGAAATCTCTGGGTGGTATCACTGTACTATCATAAGATACAGACAATTTGAAAGTATCTTCCGCAAGGATGGTTAAATAACGTGTACCTCCCCTGCAGCTACGCACAACGGTACAGAATCTCTATCTCCCCACTGGCAGCCAGTGACACAATTTCTGTACCTCTCCTAACTTGGTATGTAATGAATCATGTTAATAGATTCCCAGATATGGAAACATCCTTGCTATCCTAAAATAAAGAAGTTACAATTATAGTGCTTTGCTACCCCAATGAAAAACTTCAACTTCTGTTTTGACTTCTGGGCAGGAGATCATAAGGTCATGCTGCAGAGGTGTGCCCTGGGCCACTTCCCTTTTCGTTATCAGACTTTCACTCCCAGAGGTTCTCAATCCCAGTGCAGTCTCAATTAACTTAATAATGACCCTGAATAATCCGATCTTTAAAGGTTCATCAGAATTCAGGGAAAATACTTCTACATTCTTTATTTAATAACAAATACTAATCCTATTTCTAGCACCTTTATGAGAATCCTTCTAAGATGATGTGACAGCATTTATATCTTACAGAAAATTCACCTTTTTGCTCAAGATTTTATCACTGCATCCATTCAAACAAGCTACCCTCAGTTACAAATAATTTCTTGTCCATAATGCATCGTTCATGTTCTGGCAATTACTTCCTGCTAGTTCTAGAAGCCATGCATTTAATCCTTTGTTCAGGATGCAATCCCTGCTCGGCCACAGCACCATTACCCTGCTCTCACCCACTCATCACATGACTGGCTGCATGCCCACGTCCCAAAGCAGACTCTACAATACTTGAGAGCAGAACTCATACCACAGTGTAATCCCAAGGTCTACTTCATGAAAAGAAGTCAAGGAAAAATACATATTAATTTAATGATCAAATAAACATATGCCTATCACTACTTCTCCAGATGAATCAGATTCCCCTCCTTTACTCAGAAAGCATAAAGTCTGGGGGCGTTACACTTATCTAAGTGCAATGAAAGGGAGTAACCCAGAAGAGATTCAGGAAAAATGTAAGGATCCATCAAAAGAACCAGAGCAGGTTTGGAGAGGCAGGTCCTATCAGGAGTTAGAAAGCCGTGTGAGATTCTCAACTAGAACAGGAACTAGAACAAGGGCAAGAATGAACAAACAACCCAGGTGCTGAGGAGATGCCTCAGTGGGCAACACGCTTGCCATGCATGTTAAGGATCTGCGTTCAAATTGCCAGACCTCACATAGAAGCTGAACACAGTGGTGCACATTTGCAGTCCCAAAGCTACTACAGAGAGATAGGAGCTAGGGACAGTCGATCCCCAGAAAGTCTAATTCCGCGAGCCCTCAGGGTAGAGAACAATGGAACTCTGCCTCCAAAACGAGGTAGAGAGAAAGACGGACACCTGAAGTTGTACTCCTACCTGATATAACGCACATACATGATGGGAAAGGGGAAAGGGAAAAAACAGAAGAGGGGAGTGGAAGGGAGGGAGGGGGAGGGAGGGAGGGAGGGAGGGTGGGAGGGAGAGAAACAAATGAAAGTAACGTGTGAGGGACAGGGACAAAGTAGTCCATGCAGGATGGATCCAAGGAACATGGAAAATGCAATGCTTTCAACATGGCGTCCCTCTGGCCCTAATTAGAGTCTTGGTTAAATCAGAGTGACTGTTACAAGAGAAGATGTGCATTTGCAAACTGAACATCTGTAAACTTCCAAAACGCTCTACTGTTTCGTGGTTGTTTTCTTTCTCTCAGTCTTAAACATGCTGGTGATAAGGGGGTCTGAGGAGCGGAGCGGCTGGACGAGCAAACGCCTGTGGCGGCCCTATGAGCGTCTCAGAGCCAGAGCCAGCGAAAACACACAGACAGGCAGAGAGGGAGCAGGCTCTGCTGTCCTGCCCTCACCTTGCGCTTCCTTCCTCTGTCTTGAGGTAGGTTTCACTCTAGGCTTCTAATCATCATGAAAGCAAGAAGTGAAACAGAGGACCCCCTCCCCCACGCCCCAGACACTAAAAATGAAGCGGCAACCCCAGGAGAGAGGCAAACAGGGCCCTGATCCCAGCCACATGCCTGCTGCTAAAAAAGACTTACAGACATGGGGCCTGTCCCTTCAGGGTCTGGCCTAAGTGAAAAGCAAGTAGGGAAAAGCTAGATGATCACCTTCTCTGTGGCTCTCTGTCATCACTCCCCAGCAATGACACAGGGACAGTAGAGCCACAGATCGACAAGAAATACCAAGTGTTTACTAAGGGCTGACCGTATGTGAAGTGATGTCTAATGACCAGAATCATCACAGTGCACTACCATGACCCACACTTTACACATCAAGAACATAAGGCTGAGGCTTGGGGATCCAGCAGAGGGGCAGAACACTTGCTTAGTATGTGTAAGGCCCTGGACTCAATCCCTAGTACTACCTGCCCCTCCACCCCCAAAAGGAAAGTTCTAAGAGGTCGCACAAATTGATTAGGATATACAACCACCAAACTGCAAAGCTAAAAAAAATCTTCAACATGGATTCTTCCCCGCAGTCTGTGTCTCTCTGGAAATAGTGCTTTGGGTTCTTACCACGCCCACACCTAACTCTTGGATCATAGTGGTTATAGTACATTCTTCCTGTCATACTCCACAATCAGAAACTGATGAAGCCAGTAACCAACAGAC